TCTCTCTCTCTCTCTCTCTCTCTCTCTCTCTCTCTCTCTCTCTCTGAGAAAGTTGTGGAGCTAGGAGGGTAATGTAAAGCCGAGAACATACCATTAGAGATGGCGGTACCCAACGGCTTTCCGGTAGGGGCATACTGGAAATTTGGCACCCACACCGGTAGGGGCATATTGAACATATTTCAGGCCCAAACGACGCCAGGTTTTTTTTGGAAACTTGAATCGTTGTCAAAGGGGCAAATCAGGGTAAGTCAGCCGTCAGAGGGGCAAAATGCAAATAAACACAAACTTCAGGGGCATTTCGAAAACTTTCCCTTTTTTTTTTTTTTTCCTAAAACAGTCGGATTGAGAGAATGTTGCGTTGCTTCGTGGTATCCAACATTGGAAGACCCTCTTTCCGTCGAACTGAGATAGGAGTTCCAGAACTCCGTTAGAGGCTGTGCGGCGGGGGTCTGGTACCAAGTGCCTGGAGGGTTCAGCCCGACTGGATCAATCAAATTCTTCCAGGCTTTTGGGATTGCAGAGACAATGGCTGCTTTCTTTTCCTCCAAATTTCTGACTGTTCCCAAGGCTTCTTGCAGTTCAATCTTGGTCTTCCAACGGTTGAAGGTGTAATTCCACAAATCGTTGATGGCTACGACTCCTCGTTCCATCCAAGTTCTACGCCCATGTCTGCTTTCAACCAGTTCCCTGCATTGTCAAAGACATGGGGTTTTTTAGACATCCTACTTTGTGACTGGTTGTTCCAAGACATCGGGGCGTGATCAACGCCGGACTTTGATAATAGGTGCCTAGAAAGGGGAGTGAATAATTCTCCTTTGGTATGAATAGAGTAAAAGGGCAATCCAGACGTCTTGAGGGCGGCATAAGTTTCATTCTTCCATAAGGATTCTCTCGCCCAGCAACACCCAGTGCTCTGCTTTCCCTGAGGAGACTGCGGCGGTGATCCATCTTACCAAACTAACTGCATTCTGTCTGTCTGGGTCTTTCATGCCAAGTCCACCTTCATGCCGTGATTTGCAGATAAGTTCCCACACGATCTTGGAGATGAAAGATTCGGGGTCGCCAGCATACGGTTTCCAAAGGGACTTTGCTGCTCTACGTCTTTGCATAGGAACCAGTTGTTGACCGAGTCTTCTAACCGTTCCAACGAACCAAAGGAGGGCGAACAGAGAAGAGTTTAGAACCATGGCTCTGCCGAAAATCGACAGGTGAGGGACCTTTCCCCATGTGGCTAATTTGTGAAGTACCTTCTGAAGAAGAAGGTTGTCCTTATCCGTTGAACAGTCCATTAGTTTTATTTGAATGCCTAGGAATCTCTGCGATTCGTCCATGCCTACTTGTTTCATTCCCCATCTCGCACTTGGGGTGAGTCGGTTAGGGAGCAAGAAGAATAACTTACGCCAATTTATCGATGTTTCTGATAGAAGCGAATGTTCATCTAGGCATGTTTTTAATGCTCCTAATGACTCCGAGGTGTTATTGGAGATAGCCAGCAGACCATCCGTCAGTGCTTTGGCACGACAGTTCAGGTTCCCAAGTGGGAGACCCTGGACTTGGGGGTGCGGTTTGATGTTATTCAGTAGCACCAGTTGGGTTACGAACAACAAGGGAAGCGAGTGGACAACCCTGCCTGAGAGAGCGGGTTAGAGGAAATTTATTTGAAATTTGTCTGTTTACCATTACAACCGCCGTTGAGAACACATATAGAGTCGTGAACCAGCTGTATAAATTTTCTCCGAAGTTTAACAATTTAAGTGTGGATAAGACATACGACCATTTCACTCAGTCGTGTGCCTTCAACATAAAAATTCCCACGAGAAATGAAAGTTGAAAAAATATTCCATAAAGAAAAAATCCTTCATATTTATAAATTAGCATTACAATGTTCGTCAAATTCTAAAAAATTCACTCTTATTTGATAAAATCCCGTATAAATATGAGTTTTCCCTTCCAACTACATCTATTTGTTCAAGATGGAATGAAAGTCTAGACGAGTTTATGAAATGTTTTAATTAAACTTTTATTTTACTACAAGAAATATCTTCTAATTTAGATTGGATTAACCTATTTATGACTGAAAATCCTTACTTGGAATGACAGTCCAATTAAAATATTTCATGAACTCGTCCACACTTTCATTTCATCTCTAGCATACAGTTCAAATAAGAAGGGATACCCCATTGTTGGAAGGAAAGTTTTTAAGTAAGACAGAAAATTTTAAAATTGGAATGACATTTTTTAAGATGGAATAAAAATTTAAAATTTAGAATGTAATTTCACTACATAATGATTATTCAATTCTAGGAAATTTTTTCCTTGTTCTCCAAGTCGAGAAGCAACACCATTACATCTAGGTTTGAATTAGCTATGACTTTCAAAGCTTGGACTGTCGTGACTATGTTTGCGAAGATTGATCTGCCACACACGAAGGCAACTTGATCCTCCTTGATCAGTGAGGGGAGAATTGTGTTTAGTCTGCGCGCCAAAGTCTTAGTCAACGGTTTATACGACACATTTAGGAGGGCTATAAGATGATAGTGCCTAATGTCTGCTTTATCTCCTTTCTTGTAAATAACAAAGAAGACAATGCCATTCACATATTTATCGATAGTCTTCCCACCGTCAGCACTGAATTGTAGATTTCTACTAAGTTGTCTTCAATCTCTTCCCAAATTGCTAGATATAGCTCAACTGGAAAACCATCATCTCCGGGGACCTTCCCATGCACCATTGATTTCAACGTTTGTAGAGCTTCTTCATTGGATATGGGTCTATCTAGGAGGAGGTGAGCAGACTGTGGCAGTCTATCATAGGTGTTTTCCCAGTGAGATGAGTCTGTGTAGAGTTATGAATTGACGTCTCTACCCTGCAATCTGGACCTAAGAATGTCCCTGTAGTACAGGGCAGCGTATTCACTCAGATTAACAAGGTCTTTCACACGATGGGCCTGGGGGTCGAAGGGATGAACGAGCTCAGCGATTGGTTGGACTGCTTGCTTCGGTACCAATTTTTGGAAGAATTTTTACTCATTTTGTCGCAGACAGCGATACCTCAAATGTTCAATCAATCTGCCTAAACTTCTAACTTTTTTTTACTGTAGAGCATCCCATTCCGAAATCATTTTATTTCCCTCTCTGCCCCGTACTACCTGAGAAATAGGATGACCATTCATTCTTCTCTCTACCATCTTAATTTTTTTCTTA